TTTTTTTTTTTTTTTTTTGGGGGGTGGGGGGTAAAAATTCAAAATAAAGAAAGTCAAAGTGTGGACTGTACACAAAAAGATTTTATGGGAGATTTATCTCGCGTCTCTGTAAGATATTCCAAACTCAACACCTACCGTACAATCGTACAAGGTCATGTCAATATTTTATGTATGCGCTGATATTTATAACACTATTTACCCCCCCCCCCTTTTTCCCCTAAAAAACTACAAACCTCACCCTTTTTTTCCTTACCTTTAATAATATTAGATAGCTTCCCCTACCCAGGGCCGGCAACTCGAGCAGTTCCCCAGGGCGCCATGTGCTCAGGGCGCCATCAACGATCTTCCAAAATAGGAAAAAGCATGGCATATGGGGCGCCATGGATGAAAAAATAGACAGCGCAATAAATAGATTTGCTAACCTTAAGGATACAAAAAAATGTCGGTATGCTAATCATTCATACTGTGTCGTCGGTATGCTAATCATTCATACTGTGTCGTCGGTATGCTAATCACTCATACTGTGTCGTCGGTATGCTAATCATTCACACTGTGTCGTCGGTATGCTAATCATTCATACTGTGTCGTCGGTATGCTAATCCTTCACACTGTGTCGTTGGTATGCTAATCATTCATACTGTGTCGTCGGTATGCTAATCATTCATACTGTGTCATCGGTATGCTAATCATTCATACTATGTCATCGGTATGCTAATCATTCATACTGTGTCGTCGGTATGCTAATCATTCACACTGTGTCGTCGGTATGCTAATCATTCATACTGTGTCGTCGGTATGCTAATCATTCATACTATGTCATCGGTATGCTAATCATTCATACTATGTCATCGGTATGCTAATCATTCATACTGTCCAGATACGAGTTATGCAAAATGATACTATTGTTCACAGTTTTTTGTTTTTTTTAAACATAGGTACTCATTACCATATCCCTAGTTTTTCCTTGCAAAAAAGTTTATGATTGTACTTAAAGGCGGCGCCAAAGTTAATTTCTGCCTCCAACCATTCTAGCCAGTGCAGCCTACTAATTATGTCAAATGAAAACGAGTTTTAACAAGCAAAATAACAATTTAAAAAATTAACAGTTATACATAAGCAGTTAAAAATTAACACACTAACACTATTAACCACCTCCGTCATCATTTTTTTTTTTTTTTAAAATATAGAGTGAGATGATAAATACATAGACTATTGTCCCTTGATCTTTTTTTCTTATGTTCTATATTGAACCAGTTTCTGTTTTGAATCTGCTCTGGGCACTGAAAGAACGGTTCAGCTGATCTATGCAATTATTTATTGTACATTGTAAATGTAATGTTATGAACTCAAGCTTCGTACGTGTTGACTTATACTATGCTATTTACATACTATTCAAGACCAAAGTATTTATAACCTTATGGTGTCCTACCACGTTTATCCTATACGTCAAAATGTTCCATTAAAACCAATGTGAAAATGTGCTGACCCCATTGGTGAATATATAGGATTGATCCCTTCAGAATGTCGGTAAACATCGTAAAATTTAAATTCGAATGGTGATGAGAGGGTTATTATTACATACATTGTTATAACAATAATTTTAATTTTTGACGCTTTAAAAAATTTATGTTTACAAATTTTTTAATATTTTAATTTTTTTTTTTTTTTTTTTTTTTTTTTTTTTTTTTTTTTGGAGGATGATGGTGGGACAGGGGTGAATAATATACAAAGGAATGATTTATTTTCAAATAAAGATTTCATTAAATACATTTTTTTACAAATATTTGACATCTTTGCCTTTCAATGATTTTCTCAGCATTAGGAATGAAAGCAGATGGGTTCGAATTAGAGCAGTTGAGGTGTGACTTAATTTTATATAAAGGGACATAATTCTTAATTTTTACTGCTGCAATGGATGTGGTCTGACATGGCGTCGCATGACTTATCAAGAGACACAGTGGCGTTTAGAGAGGCGAACTTGAGATTCTGGTGTCAGTTAGTTCTCATCCTCTTTCAAATTAAATTTTTGTTCGTGGAAACCCTGGGTCCATATGTGTTCTGGCGCTATTGAAAGACGTTTGCTTGGGGTAGCCACATGGACACGATCTATCAACCATCTTTCATTATGTGGCCGAGTGGTCTAATCTGAGCCAATCTCAAGTTCATGGTTCAATATCACCAGCACTCCTGGTGGATGGGACTCGTTAACCTTGGATGGCAACTCACCTAAGCTAAGAGAAGGAAACTCTGAATATCCCTTAGGCGGATAACAATGGCACAATGAAACATTCCGACAACTCCTGCGACGCCACTGGTGCCAAGCTGTATCATCCATGATGTTCCCTTGGGTTATCCAGCGGCGTGGAGAGAGGCGATTTGCTTTGTATGGAACCAGCTTAAAATCCTAAAAAAGAATAATCCCAGGCCTTGTGGACTTAGTCCTGCGAAGTCCACACCATCGTCACATTGTGCCAGCAAAATATTAAAAAAATTACAATGGATTCCAAAGATATTGCATACATATGCTCCTATCAACAATGCCTCTTCAACAAAGCTTTGTCGCAATCCGACACTCTTATAATTAGTTAATGAAAATGATACAATTTTCTATTTTCACTGAAAATGCAAAGCTTCAACTTCAATATAACTATTGCTTGAGAATTTTAGTTTGTTTTAATTTTTTAAAAAAATATTATTTTTGCGACTTTCTTTTTCAACGGTGGGGAAAGAGAAACAACTCTTGCCAAATAAGTTTTAAAAAAGATTGTTTAAATTTTTATTTTTTCAAAAAAAAAAAAAAAAAAAAAAAATCTTGCCAAAAAAATTTTAAAAAAAATTTTTTAAATTTTTATTTTTTAAAAAAAAAAAAAAAAAAAAAAATCATCTTAAACACCGAACGGAATTTTTTAAAGCTTTCATATAAAAGAAGTGTACCGGTACCTTCAAATAAAATGGGGCACCGAGAGAGACTTCCAAACCCTGTTGTTGCACTCTCCCTACCGGCGACCTTATAACGAATAGATAAATTCTTTCAAAAATGACAGGGTGTTATACAAACTGAACGCAAACAGCTTAGCGCTTTTCGAGCTCTCTTCCTTCCACGAGGAAACACAGTAGATGATTTTGGTGTTGGCGACGAAATACCCCAGCCCGTAACCTTTTGTGGAATTGGGCAGGACGGCCACGTAAGACGTGCACCCGACCCCTAGGCTGGCCGAATAGATCTCGAAACGCTCGCCCCAGGGGATGCAGTCGTCTTGAAACAGCCTCGGGGTCTCCGCGAGGTTGTCTTGGGCTATAACCCTGAGCGCGGCCATGTGGTTGTGACAGCCCTGGCCGGAACAGTTATCTTTCAGCAGCTCCCTGTGCCTCTTCTCCGCCTTCCAGAAGCTCTCTTTCTTGATCACCGCGTCGGCTTTCGGGTCCCTCATGATCCTAACCCACTGGGCCATTTCGTTGGTGGTCGTGCTCATGATTTCGTGGCGCCCGTGGTAGAACCGCTTCAGGCTGACCCTTGATCCAATGGAAGCGATGCGGAAGTACATCGTGAAGAACGCCAAATGAATAACCATGTGGGCGAAGGCGTCGGTGTTTATCTCCCTCGAACTGAATGCGTTAGCCTCGTACTCTTCAAACTTGCACGTAGCTATCTCCACGGACGCGGCGAGATTCGAGAAATGCATCTGGGCGACTTCGATACTCTCCAGCACTTCAGGTTCGATAGTAAACTGCAGTTGTCTTGGGACAGAAACCGGATCCAGGGAACCCCATCGTTTTGGGCTGAGGCTGATTCTGCTGGTCAGGACGATATCCGACGTATCGCTGCCCCTCTTCGGCTTCTGGGTAAACCATTCGTCAAACATGCCGGAGGCGCTGGAGGCGATGGCTGTTTTGCTCAGACTTTGGACCACATCGTCATCCCATTTCTCGGTGTCCTCCAGGATCCTCAGGTGCATGTAATGCAGGAGAATGGCCAGCATCGAACCGTCGACCAGCGACGTGTTGGCGTTGATGGTCACCACTCCATTTTTATAGACGTAGAAATTCAGGCTTTTGTCGTACCAGCGGTTGCAGCCGTCCCCGAAAATGGCCTCGTGGGGCAAAAGGTCGGTGTTGTGCGAGACGACGGCGTCGAGGCTGAGCACGAATATGGCCTCCTCGATGACCATGAGGCACTCTCGGTTGTTCTCATCAGTCTGCATCAGCTTGACCCGCGTGCACGACCAGTCGTCTCGGTTCATTGACGTCAGAGATCCGACTCCGGGGCCCATTTCCACGAATCCGCCGTCCACTGAGTACACGATATGCTCCAGGTTGGCTTGGATGCTCAGCAGTCGGATCGGGACGTCGTGAGAGTCGACGACGACCACGGTGAAAATCTGGCCGCGGTAAATGACCACGATGTGCCTCGGTGTGTCCTCTTGGTCCGAAACGGTGTGGAACAGGGTGAAGGTGGCGTCACAGGGCTTCCCCGGAATTCGCGCTGCAGAGAAAAGCTTTCGGAACTGATTCATGCAGATCTGATGCCCCTTGGGATCCATCACGGGTCGGAGGGTTTCTTTCCTGATGAGCAGCCAAAATTCTAAAGCGAGGTCAATCACCATGGCCGCTCGATCGAGCTGAGAATCTTTTTTAGGGGGCCAGAGGTCGAAAATGAACGGAGCGACTATCCCCGTGCTCAAAATCGGGGCCTCGTGCCTCGAATAGAGCCGCCCGTAGTTGGGAAGCGCAGACTTAATCCATTGCTTGTTTGACCCGGTCGACTCCACCAAAATCTTCTGGCACACTTTTCCTTCTCCATTTTCAAACTCTTCCGCGGCTATTTTAATCTGTTTGAACTCGGCAGGTCTCGTGCATGACTCCAGTGACATCAAAACTTGTTTAAGGGAGTTCCCCAGATCGGGAATGGGAAGCTTAGGCAGCGATCCTTGTTTGGCGAAGGTCAGTCCGGATACGCCGCCTTTGTACAAGAGACCCGCCCTCGCCTCGAAATCCAGCCAAGGAAACGGCCAGACGTCTGTGGGCGACAGCGGTGTGTTGGAGGCCCTGCTGGCTTGCCGCGTCTTTCCTTCGTACGGTCTCACCAGCTCGGCGTGGTCCAAGCGACCCAGCACGGGCGCCGCGGTGGGCCTCAGCTTCCCTCTAAAAAACACATCCGGTTCGCCCGCGGAGACGTCCGACGGGCCGAAAGAGCGCACCTCGCCGTCAGTCCCGGATGGATCGGTCCACATTGTGGTCATTATCGAGTTGAACGACGCGATGCTCTGATCCTCCTTGTGTTCGAGGCCATACTTGATGGACTCCCTTGTTATCATCCGGGACAGCGACATGTAACGGTTGATGAACCCGGAGTCCTTGTAACCTGTGTCCGCATCGGCCTTATCGAGGACAAACACGACTTTTTTGCCGATGGAGTGGCCTACCTCATTGTGGCCGGCGATAGACAGACGAGGCATGACGCTGTTGTACTCGACAACGCTGGAACTTTGTCTGATCCGAAGCTCAAGAAATTTTTTCGAGAGATCGTAGTCCGACTGGAAAGGGTTTCGGTAGCCCATCGACGGCAGCGGAATGCCGGTGAAACATCTCGTAGAAGACCGTCTCTGTGAATGTTCTCTTTCCAGCTTGAGGTGAGACCCGAGTGCACTCATATCGTCAGGTGATGGTCACCAGTTGGTGAAAAACAGACGTTTAAACAATTGAATAGAGGATCATGTGATATTCAGTAATAAGATTGCGTGCTTCTTTGTTTAAGAAAATGTGCATTTGTTCTGTTGTTATAACTCAGTGCTTTCTACATTAATGAACCGTATTTTTTTCTGGGGAAAATTGAATAGATACATATAGGATAAGTATATTTTCACATATAGGATAAGTATATTTTCACATATAGGATAAGTATATTTTCACATATAGGATAAGTATATTTTCACATATAGGATAAGTATATTTTCACATATAGGATAAGTATATTTTCACATATAGGATAAGTATATTTTCACATATAGGATAAGTATATTTTCACA